GCTTAATAATGCATAAAAAGAACAAACATACAACAGAATTTTTTTTTCATTTTTCTATAAATAGATTATTCATAGTAAAAATACGCTTTCTAATAAATAGCATAGTGCTGCATAGTACTAACACATTGAAAAAGATAGTTCAACTACTTTTGCAAAATTTCCTTTCTTTCTATAATTTAAAATTTTTTTGGGTAATGGCGATAATATTATTTAGCCTACATTAGGTTTTGTTTTGATTTGTTATGCACGATTTGCTATATGGTTAATTTTTTTTTCTTTTCGTATAAATGTAAGGGGTGGTGAGTTACCCGATAAGGAGAGAGATGATGATTGTATTTATTCTCTAATATCCGTGCATTCTCGTTGGAACAAGAAGGTTTACCAGACCTGAGCAAAACTAATTAATACATCTAAACAACACCAGTATTAAACTAAAAATGAAACTTGTTAACCCACAGTTCAATACATTTATTTACCTATTATTCCAGATGATACAATAGTTTACAGGGTTACAATAATCAGAACTCCAGATACTTTCAGTACCGGTATTCACAACGACAGGTACAGCGACAGCATCTAGCCATAAATTACGTGACAGCTTCTCGTCGACAGGAATTGTACAGCACAGGTACAGGTTGACATTACGATGACAGATACCGGACAGCATCTCACAGGACAGGCACATGACAGCATAACATCAGGCCATTTGTCCACGACCACAGCTTGGCCAACAACAACGGCCCGCCTGCGCGGCCAACCCTACCACACTTTTTAAAACAAAATACGACTACATGCTATGCTTCTAAGGCTAACGTTCAACTGTTCTCTCTCTCTCTCTCTCTCTCTCTCTCTCTCTCTGGACCTTACCACCCAGCTTGGGGTCTATGCCCTGGCTTGACCTCGAATACAATAGGGTATCTCATTAAGTGTTTCCCCAAATTTGCATCCCAGATTACTTGATTCAGACTAAGGTCAAAGACCGGCGACCGGTACTTCCCCTAGCCTGCAGATCTCTAGGTGGGATATGGAATGGGAGGAAGCATTGGAGGAAAAGGGGGGGGGGGTTCAAATGGGGTACCAGCCAACATGGAGTTATGTATGACTCCAGAGTTTCTTTCAGAAATATCTCTGATGGTGGGGTGGGGGTGGGTGGGTGGCGGTTGTCACATTGTTCCGGAGTACGAAAACGAAAAAAACATAATTTATACAGAATATATAAGCTATTCTAACCAGCGACGCCCCCCTTCCACCATGTAGAGTGCTACAGGGCTAGATAAACGTGCTATTAATGCTGATCGTGAAAGTAAATTCCGCAACCAACATTTCTAATATCCGCTTCTGTGAGGTATGCAGAGAAACACCGGATTAGAAAATACCCAAAGTAAAGGAATCAAATGACTTACACTAATGATAAAACGTGCAGGCCAATCATCACATCCTGAGAAAAAAAACATACACCAGCTAGATCTATGTCACATCCTCGGGGGGGGGGGGGGGGGGGGGAATTTTACGGAAAATATATAAGCTCTTTTAAACAGTGTCGCCCCCACATACACCTGTACATTTTAACTTATTCAAAATCTATTTTAGGCAGCATGTATTGTTTGGTTTGGAGACGTGTTATAAATGCAGAGCTTGAAAGTAAATTGGCCAACCAACATTTCTCCTGTGAGATATGCAGAGAAAAACCAGATTTGAAAGAAACGACAGGAAAAATAAAGCGGGAGTGATCTCCCCAAAGCTTTCTCGAATATTCTTATATAACACTACGGGAGAAGGCAACTTGGAATATAGACATGATTTTTAATCAATTTTTTTTTTATTTCTTACACTTTTAAAAATAGAATAAAATCTCGTAGTAAAAAGAATTGCGCACCACGTGAATGACAAACAATATCTGTATAATAGTACTTTCTAAATTCATATTCGTTTTTTTTGCGAAATCGGGAATAGCGTAAATTACTACCTCTAGTCAACGGAAATTACTCAAAATTTGAAAGAAGACAGAAAATTAGATCTTTTACTTACATGTGAAATTTCATTCATCTATCAGAAACAGTACTCAAATTATAGGCTTTTGAAAAATTGAAAGTAGAATAAGTTTCACTTCCGGTTACCGGAAATTGCTGAAAAGTTGATACAGAACTACACATTTGATATAATACAGGGGTCTCCAAACTACGGCCCGCGGGCCAGATGCGGCCCGCGAGGTCCTCTCATCCGGCCCGCGGAATAAATGTTTGTTAGAGGTGGCTGAGAAATTATGCCCAGAAAATTCAAAACAATTTGAAAATGTAGCTTTGGGTGCAAATACCATTGCCCGCCATGTTGCAGACATCAGTGAAAACATCGTGACTCAAATAGCGAAAATGCAAGCAAGTTTTGCAATTTTTTAATGGTAATGGATCAGTTGCTGGACAGCTGTTCCACATCTCAACTGCTTATGTTCATTAGAGGTGTGGATGAAGACATAAACATGACACAAGAGCTGGCTTCCCTACATAGAATGTATGGCACTGTTACTGGAGAGAACATAGATAGTTCAAAGACATGTTAAAAAATAGAAACACAGAATCCATATTTCACAGCAGTAAGATGGCTAATTTGCGAGATATTTTTCTGAGCAGAGTATTTAAGTTAAGAAAGTTATGTTGACTTCCTTGAACGTAAAGGCAAGCCACAAGCTGATGTACTTACTGTCTGATAAAGAGTGGGTATAGAAATTGGCCTTTGCTGCAGACATAACTAGTCATTTAAATTTTCTGAATCTAAAACGGCAACAGAGTGAAATCTAGTTTCTGATCTATGCACCCACCGAAAGGCTTTCAGATACAAACTTGTCATCTTTTTGGAACAAGTACAATCCAACAACTTACGCACTCTCAGTAGTGCAAGGTCTTTAGGCTGAAGCAACCACTGAGTTCCCTACGTCATTTGCATATGAGATCATGAAAGACTTCAAGCTGCAGTTTCAGTAGCGTTTTTTTGACTTGGATTCAAAGGCAGAAAAAAGTGAAACTGTTTCAGAACCCGTTTGAAGCAAATGTGGCCAGTTGCAAAGGTGAACTGCAGCTGGAGGTCATTAGAGACGCGTTCAAAGAAGGGCGGGTGGGTTTTGATAATTTTTTACCAAAGGAAGATTTTCCTAATATCAAAACTTTTGCATCAAAGCACCTTTCAAATTTTGGAACAAGATACCTGTGTGAACAAATATTTTCAAGATTGAAATACGCGAAGAACATTTTGAGAGCAAACTTGGACCTCGAGTGTGATTTTGGCCACCGACAGTGTTTCTTTCAGACTTTTTCCTCCGGGGGAAGGGGAGACGACACTTGAAATTTGTATATATTCCTATATAAATTATATTTTGTTAAGGGGGGGAGGGGGACGGTTTCTTTCAGACTTTTTCCTCCGGGGGAGGGGGAGACGACTCTTGAAATTTGTATATATTCCTATATAAATTATATTTTGTTAAGGGGGGGGGGGGGAGGGGGACGGTACATGTTCTAAAGAGGGGGGGAGGGGGGCGCTGCCACCCCGAAGAGATGTCTTGAAGAAACTCTGGCCCCCGAACTGATATTTGATTGTTAATGCGGCCCTCGGGCTGAAAAGTTTGGAGATCCCTGATATAATACATATGAAATTTCATCAACCTAGCTGTAACAGTACTCAAGTTATCGCCTTCACAGACACACATACACACACACACACATACACGCACACATACACACAAACAGTCAAAATTGCAAAACTATGTTTTTCCGACTCAGGGAGGTGTAAAACGTCGAGATTTTTTTTTTTGCACGATTACAATGCTTCCTCTGTACTTCGTATACGAGAAAGTAAAAAACGGTTTGGATAGGACCAGTGTTTCTTTCAGGCGTCTTTTCGCCCCCCAAAGAAAGTCTACCCCCCCGAACGAAATGAAATTTATATAGAAAATATATACTTTTAACAGTGTCTCTCCCCCCCCCCACCCCGGAGAAAAAAGTCTTGAAGAAACACGTGATAGGGCACCTCCGCAGAAAATAGACCTACGGTTAATGACACAAGCAGACAAGTGCTGTTATGAAATCCACATGGAATGAGGAAAAGGAGTAGATAAAAAATATCATGAGTTTCTTCCAGTCATCTTTTCGGGGGGGGGGGGGGGGGGCTGTAATTGTAATAGGAATTGATTAAAATACTCTATTTTGACAGAGTTCAGACAAGATTTTGGAAAAATATCAATTTAAAAAAAAATAAAATCAAATGCAATTTTGAGTGGGGGGGGGGGGGGTGCGGACCGCACCGGGTGACACCATTTGGGGGGGGGGGGGTGACACCAAGGCAAAAATAGCAAAATATATAGAGAAAAACTTGAGGGGGGGGGTGGTGGTGCAAATCAAAAGTTTGAGGGGGGTGCAAGTCGAAAGTTTGAGGGGGGGGGGGTGCAAATCGAAAGTTTGAGGGGAGGGGTGCAAATCGAAAATTTGAAAGTGTGTCCCCGGGAAGGGTCGCTACGCCTCTGGGGAGTGACACCATTAAGTGCCGCACCGGGTGACACCCGACCTCGCTACGCCACTGGGCTGAGGTGTGACGTCATTTCATGGGGGGGGGGGGTCTGGCTTTTTGTGACGATGTGTGACGGAGGGGAGGGGGGAGGTAAAAATCTTCAAAAAAAGCGTGACTTCATTTATGGACGACCCCCTTATCAAATAAGGCAACTTTTTTGTTCTTACTTTCGGTGCTGTTAAAATATTGTTAGATCTAGTCTAGTTATTATAAAGTTTTAAAAAATTGTTTTTGATCTAGATCTAGATTAGATCTATTTTGTGTACTCTTGTTTGAAATGTTTTTTGTTTGTATTATGGCCTTGCAGGGAAACTTTTCTTGACGAATCTGAACTTCTCTTGTAAAGAGTTGACGTCTGATGATAAACGCTTGCTCTTGATCAGTTATTGACGTGAGATAGTTGAATGTAGATTTCTAGTCTAGATCTAAATCCACCCGTGCTAGATCTAGAGATAGATCTAGAATCTAGATCTAATTTTAAAATGCATGATCCTGATTACTTGGAACTTATTTTAATAAGTTTTTTGGTCTTATTTGTTTCAGGTAGCCTGGTAGACTTGGTGGTAATCTATCGTTTTGGGTACGTAAAATCGCCCGCGGCTATTAATGTACGAAAAAGTTACCTCATTGTCAAGGCTTTAGTAGAAGTATATTGTGATATATTTGTGTCAAATATTATAGATAAATGAATAATAAACCTAAATCAATGGCTAAATATATCAATATATGCCAGAAATTAACTTTAAACAGCAGTGTCTGCGAGCAAGATTTGCTATATAAACAGCAGCCATTTGTAAAATAGAGTGGCTTCCCCCTGTCTCGCGCTATATCCGCTATAAAAATAAAACTTAAACAAGATGGCTGCTATAGTAAATGAGCATGGTTGCATCTGTTGGAAACATCGCTAGTCTTCATTTATTACTGAAAAGTTTTAATTCAATTGTTTAAAAACAGGTACATAAATGAAACAAAGAAACATTTTTGTATTTTTTAAAACATAAATCCTCCTCAAAATGTGAAATAATTATTAAAATTTAAGGAGTCACCTGTTTTTCACATTACTAGTCGCGGGCGATTTTACGTACCCAAAACGATAGATTACCAAAGTCAGTAAAGAAAGACTAAAATATTTAATAATTTATCTATCACTCTGTGATAGATCAGCAGAGGCGTAGTGAAGGGGGGGGGGCAGGGGGGTACATAAAACATATGTCCCCGGGCCCAACCCTAGGGGGGGCTAAAATCGGTTGAAAAAAGAAGCTCATTTTAACTGCAGTTTTGCATTATAAATATAAAAACAAATATATATGAGGGGGGGGGAGGGGCGCCAAATTGAAAGCTTGGAAAGTTTGTACCCGGGCGCCGGGAAGGGTTGCTACGCCTCTGTAGATTACTTTTTAAAACTTTTAACAGATGTCATTTAGGATCCAAAACTATTCTAGACTTCTAGACTTAGTTTAGACTTTAGACTATAGATCTATTAATCTAATTATTAATATGATTATTTAGCTTAGAATCTAATTGAATCTAATCATTCTAATGGGTGCTACTCTAATCTAGAGAGTCTAGACTCTGGCTGGTCTAATTATTAATAGATCTAGTTAAGTAGTTAAGTTACTAGTTACCTAGTAACTATAGAATCCTATAGTCCTATAGATCTATATTAATAATTAATAACCTATACTATACTATAGGCTAATAATATTATTGAGGTATATGAATGACTATACAACTAGATTGACTAAATCTATAATTCTAAAATAGATTGCTTCATCAATCACTTTATGAGTTACTTTATTGAATTACTGTTTACATACCCGTGATACCTATTACTATTTTACCTATCTTTTTAGAAGTTATTTAATGTTAATTATGTGCTCACTTTATCTTTGAATTTGATCAGCCTTGCTTAGAATTTTAGTGCTGCAGATCACCATTCCATTTCCCCACAGTTTTATTCTGTTTCTCTTTGGATTTATTGCAGGTAAGCCATTAGTCACTTTAGTTAAAGTTACTTATTTTGGTGTTATTTACTGTAGGCCTACTGAGTGGAATACAATGTATTATTGTAATCTAGTTTTCAAGATACACTGAAAGCCACATTTGTCTAATCAAAACTTCATAGTGTAATTGTAGGCCTGAATCCCTGATCAAAACTTACATTGTAACTGTATGCCTGAATAAATGATCAAAACTTACATTGTAACTATGACTATGCCTGAATAAATTATCAAAACTTAACATTGAAATTTTAGGGTTGAATTAATGATCAAAACTTTACAGTGTCTTCTTAATTGTAATAATGGAAGGGATTTCCTCCATCACAATTAAGTGTTACATGTCAACCTGTTGTGTGCCAAATAGATAGTTGACTCTGACTTCAGCCAGCTTTTCTTTCTGGATTTGCTTCCATCAAAGAACAAACTACAAGGCAGCAGTTGTTTTTTATTTTGCAATTGTCTCTCCAAGTGGGTTGCTGTCCCAGCCTCATCTGCCCCTGGGATGGAACTCAGGACTTTTTTGTTCAGCAACCCTGAGCTTTACCGACCAAAGCACGCTGACCCCTACTTTACAGTTTAATTCATTTGATTAATTTCAATGAAGAACATTTGTAATAATCTTGCACTACTTGACAGGTTCTATGTTGGAATCCAGCAAGTACACAGGACTGAAAACAATTGGGACATTGAACCCTGTTGTTTGTATGGAGATTATTGTGCCAATTATCATGTTTGAGACAGCATTTTTTATCAACCAAGAGACATTGAAAATTTCTTGCATACAAATTACTGTCTTAGTTTTACTTAACTTTGGTACGATGATTTTTCTACTCGTTTCCAATAGTTCATTCACAGTTAGAATATTAATAACTTTGAATTAACATTTAAAAATGTGAGTGATGAAGTGAAATAAATGAACTAAAAAAATCCCCAATTATTGTGAACTTCAGGTTTAGCATTAGGTTTTATTGGAATAGTGAGCACAAGATTGTTTGACTATGGTTGGGACTGGACTCATGCAGTTATTCTCTGCTCTGTTGTCACCATGCCAGGTCCAATATTGGGACGGGCTTTCTTAAAAAGACTTTGTAAGTACTGATTTTCTTTCTAGTTTATTCTCTAAATTGACGAGTCACTGAACTATGGGACAAACTGATTCGCTGACCCTTTTAGTGAACTGTAATGTTCAGTAAATTGACGAGTTACTGAAATGGTTTAGCAGGTAAAATATGAAATGATTCTCTGTTTGATATTTCAGCTTCCCCCTTCAAACTTCAACTGTTTCTAGAACTTGAAGCCCTGATTGGGAACTGTGTAGCAATCATCATCTTCAAGTATACTATTCTCATTCATGTAGTTAAAGACAGTTCAGCTATCTCAGGTATTAAATCTGATCCTGCACATTATTATTTAATGCATGAATGATGGCATTACAAAACATAGAAATAATAGACTAAAAGACCAAGTCTTCTTTACCTAATATAATTCTGCATAAAGCATTCTAAGATGATTGAGCTTGTTTGATATTCAGTATCAATATTTTGTATTGAAGGTTTTTTATTGAGTTTACTTGTTGCTCCAATCCTTGGGTTGATTGCATCCAAACTTGTAGCCTTTTGGATAAGAAGAATCGTCAAAGATTGTGCAAATCAGATTTGCATAGTTGTTGCCTCTGTCTACTTTTGTTTTATATTTGGTAAGTAGTGCAATATTTTAACAGAAAAACAAAGAAAAAATTTATTTCTAATTCTATGCTAATACATTTCGTGTGCAGAATTTATTTTTTGTTCAGATATTTTTGCTTAGATGTGAATATTTACCTTGATTTTTTTGGGTTTGCATTTGATTGAAGCATGTTAGGACAATATTTTAAGTGCATTTCATCAATTTCAATGTGTTGCCTATTGTATATTTTTAGACGTGTGACAGTGACCTTGTTGTCAAAACTTGAGTTATTTAAATGTAAACAAAGTGGGCGCTATGTTTCTTGGAACATAGTTGTTGAGGTGCAGGTTTGTCCACACTACCACCCATATGCTGAAGGCGTGCTGTATGAAAGTCTTGAGTGTATGTTAATAATCACCCTTGGTAATAGTGAGGTAATAGCAAGGTGCTCTTGGGAGCCACCGGTTACACTACTGCAGAGGCCCCTGGTTCTGTTGGATCACCAGATGTTGTGTGCCCTATTGTAGGGTGTCCTTTAAAACAAAAAAAAGGTGTCAAAGAGCCCTAGGTGCTGCATGTCACTAGATTGCTGGGGTACCGGCAGACATGCCTGATTCAATTTAGTCAATGATCATAGTTACCCATTGTATCCATAGTCTATGACAATCTTTAAAATGAATATAGGCTCAGTAGTACTCAAGTGAAAGCCCAGGGTGCCTAACTACACCCAGCTGGTGCACCACCCCTTCAAAATTAGTTTTTTTCCCCTGCAGAAACCTCCCCAGGAGTATTCCCAACAACTTCCCAAAGTTTGATGACAATCGGAGTAAAGGTTTAGTAATGCATTAAAGACAAACAGACAGACATGCTTTCATATTTATAAAGTTTTATTGCAGCTAATTACTATAAAATAAAACTTGAATTAGTAATGCATTAAAGACAAACAGACAGACATGCTTTCATATTTATAAAGTTTTATTGCAGCTAATTACTATAAAATAAAACTTGAATTCTTCTGGTTGTGAGTGCAGCCCAATATCTGAACATATCTGGTATATTGGCCATATGTACCATGGGGATATCACTAGCTGGCAAGAGATCAATACTGGGGGAAGGCACTGAGAAGTTCCTCACCAGGTGAGTTGTCAAGGTGGCACACTGTTGTACACAAGGGTCAAGGCTGTTATTGTTTCCTCTGTCAACTTTAGGGGTCAAGTCTGTTATTGTTTCCCCTGTCAACTTTAGGGGTCAAGTCTGTTATTGTTTCCTCTGTCAACTTTAGGGGTCAAGTCTGTTATTGTTTCCTCTGTCAAGACTTGAGTCAAGTCTGTAATTGTTTCCTCTGTCAACTTTAGGGGTCAAGTCTGTTGTTTCCTCTGTCAACTTTAGGGGTCAAGTCTGTTATTGTTACCTCTGTCAACTTTAGGGGTCAAGTCTGTTATTGTTTCCTCTGTCAACTTTAGGGGTCAAGTCTGTTATTGTTTCCTCTGTTAACTTTAGGGGTCAAGTCTGTTATTGTTTCCTCTGTCAACTTTAGGGGTCAAATCTGTTATTGTTTCCTCTGTCAACTTTAGGGGTCAAGTCTGTTATTGTTACCTCTGTCAACTTTAGGGGTCAAGTCTGTTATTGTTTCCTCTGTCAACTTTAGGGGTCAAGTCTGTTATTGTTTCCTCTGTCAACTTTAGGGGTCAAATCTGTTATTGTTTCCTCTGTCAACTTTAGGGGTCAAGTCTGTTATTGTTACCTCTGTCAACTTTAGGGGTCAAGTCTGTTATTGTTTCCTCTGTCAACTTTAGGGGTCAAGTCTGTTATTGTTTCCTCTGTCAAGACTTGAGTCAAGTCTGTTATTGTTTCCTCTGTCAACTTTAGGGGTCAAGTCTGTTATTGTTTCCTCTGTCAACTTTAGGGGTCAAGTCTGTTATTGTTTCCTCTGTCAACTTTAGGGGTCAAGTCTGTTATAATTTCATCTCTCAGCTCATTGCTGTTTTTGTTAGATCAGTCATGTCAAACAATCAGTCATGTCAAACAATCAGTCATGTCAAACAACAGTCATGTCAAACAATCAGTCATGTCAAACAATCAGTCATGTCAAACAACAGTCATGTCAAACAATCAGTCATGTCAAACAACAGTCATGTCAAACAATCAGTCATGTCAAACAACAGTCATGTCAAACAATCAGTCATGTCAAACAATCAGTCATGTCAAACAACAGTCATGTCAAACAATCAGTCATGTCAAACAACAGTCATGTCAAACAATCAGTCATGTCAAACAATCAGTCATGTCAAACAATCAGTCATGTCAAACAACAGTCATGTCAAACAACAGTCATGTCAAACAATCAGTCATGTCAAACAATCAGGCATGTCAAACAACAGTCATGTCAAACAATCAGTCATGTCAAACAACAGTCATGTCAAACAATCAGTCATGTCAAACAACAGTCATGTCAAACAACAGTCATGTCAAACAAGTCATGTCAAACAACAGTCATGTCAAACAATCAGTCATGTCAAACAATCAGTCATGTCAAACAATCAGTCATGTCAAACAACAGTCATGTCAAACAATCAGTCATGTCAAACAATCAGTCATGTCAAACAACAGTCATGTCAAACAATCAGTCATGTCAAACAACAGTCATGTCAAACAACAGTCATGTCAAACAATCAGTCATGTCAAACAATCAGTCATGTCAAACAACAGTCATGTCAAACAATCAGTCATGTCAAACAATCAGTCATGTCAAACAACAGTCATGTCAAACAATCAGTCATGTCAAACAACAGTCATGTCAAACAACAGTCATGTCAAACAATCAGTCATGTCAAACAACAGTCATGTCAAACAACAGTCATGTCAAACAATCAGTCATGTCAAACAATCAGTCATGTCAAACAATCAGTCATGTCAAACAACAGTCATGTCAAACAATCAGTCATGTCAAACAATCAGTCATGTCAAACAACAGTCATGTCAAACAATCAGTCATGTCAAACAACAGTCATGTCAAACAACAGTCATGTCAAACAATCAGTCATGTCAAACAGTCATGTCAAACAACAGTCATGTCAAACAGTCATGTCAAACAACAGTCATGTCAAACAATCAGTCATGTCAAACAATCAGTCATGTCAAACAGTCATGTCAAACAATCAGTCATGTCAAACAGCAGTCATGTCAAACAACACAGAACCTTGTTCTTTATTTCTGTTGAGGTTCCTTCATGTGATCTCAACATTTTTTAACTCCAATTTGATCATGGTCTGTGGTCTGCAAGCTCAAGGCTTGATGTTTAAAGTAACATGGGCAGACATCATTAACATAGTCATTGTGTTTTTTATCTTGAACCTTGTTAGGTAAGCCTTTACTCACATCACTCTAGTTAAAGACTAATTGACCTATGTCCTGACATTTATATGTTATAGTACTAATTGACTTATGAGATGACATTTATATGTTATAGTACTCATTGACCTATGTCCTGACATTTATATGTTATAGTACTAATTGACTTATGAGATGACATTTATATGTTATAGTACTCATTGACCTATGTCCTGACATTTATATGTTATAGTACTCATTAAATTAATAAAGATGTTGTACACAGTTGTCTGTATGTTTTAGGGTTTGTGTCATCTTGATGTTGTACACAGTTGTCTGTATGTTTTAGGGTTTGTGTCATCTTGATGTTGTACACAGTTGTCTGTATGTTTTAGGGTTTGTGTCATATTGATGTTGTACGTCTGTATGTTTTATGGTTTGTGTCATATTGATGTTGTACACAGTTGTCTGTATGTTTTAGGGTTTGTGTCATATTGATGTTGTACGTCTGTATGTTTTAGGGTTTGTGTCATATTGATGTTGTACACAGTTGTCTGTATGTTTTAGGGTTTGTGTCATATTGATGTTGTACGTCTGTATGTTTTAGGGTTTGTGTCATATTGATGTTGTACACAGTTGTCTGTATGTTTTAGGGTTTGTGTCATATTGATGTTGTACACAGTTGTCTGTATGTTTTAGGGTTTGTGTCATATTGATGTTGAGCCCTTTGATGATGTACACTGGTAATTGTCTTTCGTGGAGAAGCATCATGACAGTTTGCCTCTGCAATATTAGAGGTGCAGTCACCATTCTACTCTCACTGTGTTTGCTCAACCAAAAGTTTGAGATCAGCAACCCAGAAAAGGTTAGAATCACCAATTTGTTCTGACTAGTTTTCTCTTTCTAATGCCTCAAGTGCATGTACTAACAAATAATACTTGACCTCTAGATAATTCTAGATTTTCAACATACAGGCACTGATGTAGTAAAACATTGTATTAATCCAACACCAAACATCATGTTTACCTAACACTGCCACAGTAAAACATTGTGTTTACCTAACACTGCCACTGTAAAACATTGTGTTTACCTAACACTGCCACAGTAAAACATTGTGTTTACCTAACTCTGCCACTGTATAACATTGTGTTTACCTAACACTGCCACTGTAAAACATTGTGTAACACTTCCACAGTAAAACATTGTGTTTACCTAACACTGCCACAGTAAAACATTGTGTTTACCTAACTCTGCCACTGTATAACAGTGTGTTTACCTAACACTGCCACTGTAAAACATTGTGTTTACCTAACTCTGCCACAGTAAAACATTGTGTTTACCTAACTCTGCCACAGTAAAACATTGTTTACCTAACACTGCCACAGTAAAACATTGTGTTTACCTAACTCTGCCACTGTATAACATTGTGTTTACCTAACACTGCCACTGTAAAACATTGTGTAACACTTCCACAGTAAAACATTGTGTTTACCTAACACTGCCACAGTAAAACATTGTGTTTACCTAACTCTGCCACTGTATAACATTGTGTTTACCTAACACTGCCACTGTAAAACATTGTGTAACACTTCCACAGTAAAACATTGTGTTTACCTAACACTGCCACAGTAAAACATTGTGTTTACCTAACTCTGCCACTGTATAACATTGTGTTTACCTAACACTGCCACTGTAAAACATTGTGTAACACTTCCACAGTAAAACATTGTGTTTACCTAACTCTGCCAATGTATAACATTGTGTTTACCTAACACTGCCACTGTAAAACATTGTGTTTACCTAACTCTGCCACTGTATAACATTGTGTTTACCTAACACTGCCACAGTAAAACATTGTGTTTACCTAACTCTGCCACAGTAAAACATTGTGTTTACCTAACTCTGCCACAGTAAAACATTGTTTACCTAACACTGCCACAGTAAAACATTGTGTTTACCTAACACTGCCACAGTAAAACATTGTGTTTACCTGCCACAGTATAACATTGTGTTTACCTAACACTGCCACTGTAAAACATTGTGTTTACCTAACACTGCCACAGTAAAACATTGTGTTTACCTAACACTGCCACTGTATAACATTGTGTTTACCTAACACTGCCACTGTAAAACGTTGTGTTTACCTAACACTGCCACAGTAAAACATTGTGTTTACCTAACTCTGCCACTGTATAACATTGTGTTTACCTAACACTGCCACTGTATAACATTGTGTTTACCTAACACTGCCACTGTAAAACATTGTGTTTACCTAACACTGCCACAGTAAAACATTGTGTTTACCTAACACTGCCACAGTATAACATTGTGTTTACCTAACACTGCCACAGTAAAACATTGTGTTTACCTAACACTGCCACTGTAAAACATTGTGTTTACCTAACACTGCCACAGTAAAACATTGTGTAACACTTCCACAGTAAAACATTGTGTTTACCTGCCACAGTATAACATTGTGTTTACCTAACACTGCCACTGTAAAACATTGTTTACCTAACACTGCCACAGTATAACATTGTGTTTACCTAACACTGCCACAGTAAAACATTGTGTTTACCTGCCACTGTATAACATTGTGTTTACCTAACACTGCCACTGTAAAACATTGTGTTTACCTAACACTGCCACAGTAAAACATTGTGTTTACCTAACACTGCCACTGTATAACATTGTGTTTACCTAACACTGCCACTGTAAAACATTGTGTTTACCTAACACTGCCACAGTAAAACATTGTGTTTACCTAACACTGCCACAGTATAACATTGTGTTTACCTAACACTGCCACAGTATAACATTGTGTTTACCTAACACTGCCACAGTAAAACATTGTGTTTACCTAACACTGCCACAGTAAAACATTGTGTTTACCTAACACTGCCACAGTAAAACATTGTGTAACACTTCCACAGTAAAACATTGTGTTTACCTAACTCTGCCACAGTAAAACATTGTGTTTACCTAACACTGCCACAGTAAAACATTGTGTTTACCTAACACTGCCACAGTAAAACATCATGTTTACCTAACACTGCCACTGTATAACACATTTGTTTTTTAGATGTACATTGTGGTGCTTGGACAGATAGTTCTCTCCTTTTTGGTCAATTCAACCATGACAAACATTGTGATCAGATATGACGGTAGGTGCACCTAATTGCTTTCATTATTTTTTCAGAGATCATTTGTTCATAATATCATTTGTCCTGAGATACTGTGTCCTAATATCTTTTGTGCTTGAGATTATTTGTAAGGAAGTACACAAGGTGATTAGATTCTCTCACATCTGGTGGAGGCTATATTTATCCTCTTACAGTTGAGAAGAAATAAGCACAGTATTTATTACCTTGACAGGATGTCAGAGGATATAATCACCTTGTGCATTTCCTCTACAGTATGACGAAATTGTCTGAGGAAAAACTGAAACACTTGTACATAAAACATCAATCTAAGCATCAAAAGATACTTATTTCATTTATTCATTTCAAATTCTTAAAATTTGTTCTGAAAAAAAATCATTATTGTTATTTTCTTAGACTACCCCAAACCCTTTACCTTAACCCTAAGCCAAGCTCCTAGTTTAACCCCTAACCCCTTACCCTAAGTTAAATATAATGCATTGAAAATTAATGCCATTTGCGCTAATATAAAAAAAAACCTACAGTTAATACAGGTTTTATACACGAAACCTCTACTCAATAGCTGCTACACTATTGATTCTGTCGCACAGTGCTTGAACTTGAAACATTGTTGAAAACAACAATGTATTAAATAAAACAAGCCTCTCCTTAAATTTCAAAACATATGTAAGCCCTGCTAGGGGGGGGATACCTTCTTAAAATCTATCCTACCCTTCCCTAGGCTTATCTAACTAACTACTGTCCGGTCAGTGCAAGCCCGGATAAACCCAGACTGGTTAATAACCTAACCTTAGTCTAAATAATAAAACTACTAAAAATAAAACAAAAACTTAAACAATATAATAAAATTTATTTAACAAAATAAATATGGAACCAAGCTTACGAACAAACTAGAATTTAGGTAAAACAGAACACTGGAGACATACAAAACAGAACTCAACGGAACAAAACACCCAATTTCGGACCACTGTCCATACACCACATAAACATGACACAGAAACTCTTCAACACACAGGCCTCAACATTCCAGCAGAATGTCCCTCCATGTCGACACACCACATTCACGAACAAAGAAACCAATACTACGAACAAAGAAACCAATGCTACGCACAAGAAAATAGTCCCTAATACAATAATAAGTAACATTCAGGACATAAAGCAAAGTGGAGCAACAATCCAAAACAAAGTTTGCATAAATAATAACATTAAAATATAAACAAGACACATTAACCAGGCTACAAACCATTGTAAAATCGAAATCATATCAGCGCCATAATAGCGGACTACTTAACTAAAAACCACAACAATCCTCAAAGGAACATAAAAAGCGACATTCGCCTTCTTAGTTACAAATAATTATAATAACAGATAAACACACTCCAGCCGCTCACACATATACACTATGTTGAAACTTTCTAAAGATATGTATGCATATAAATAGAAATATAGGGACCAGATGTGAGAGGAGGCAAGCATGTTGCTTATTTCCTCTATCACTGGCCGATATATCCACTTCCCATCTATATTTTTAGATAGATATATCTAGATATATGAATAAAATAAATGTAAGTATGTCTTAACAACACCAACCATCTTAAAATAGTAGCAGCTATTTCATATCCTTGTTTTTCCTTTAGTTTTAGCGGAGCAGAAGGAATCTAAGTATTGGATATTTCAAAGAACATTGGCCATGCTGGATAACCTGAGGCTGTACACAATCACCATGTTCAAACATCACCATAAGTGAGATGCTAGCGAGTCTTTTTTCTGTCCTATCCTTACCATTCTTTTCTTACAACACTTCTGTTCTAACCTATTAAAAAGTATTTATTTTAATCTGTTAACTCTTTATTATAAGCTCTTGTTTTATTCTCAAGAGTTAATAAATCAGCTGTTGTAAACTGGATTTTCACAAGCTATTTCAACTGAACCTGGATGATTTCAGATTTATCGCAGATGCAGACTGGCAAGTGGTTGAGAAGTTTACACAGCTTCAACACCCTCTCTTCACCCCACCCAAGTACAGGGCTGTACAGGTCAGTTGTCTGCCTAGACCCAGTGTTTACCCAAGTACAGGGCTGTACAGGTCAGTTACCTGCCTAGACCCAGTGTTTACCCCACCCAAGTACAGGGCTGTACAGGTCAGTTGTCTGCCTAGACCCAGTGTTTACCCCACCCAAGTACAGGGCTGTACAGGTCAGTTGTCTGCCTAGACCCAGTGTTTACCCAAGTACAGGGCTGTACAGGTCAGTTACCTGCCTAGACCCAGTGTTTACCCCACCCAAGTACAGGGCTGTACAGGTCAGTTGCCTGCCTAGACCCAGTGTTTACCCAAGTACAGGGCTGTACAGGTCAGTTGTCTGCCTAGACCCAGTGTTTACCCAAGTACAGGGCTGTACAGGTCAGTTGCCTGCCTAGACCCAGTGTTTACCCCACCCAAGTACAGGGCTGTACAGGTCAGTTGCCTGCCTAGACCCAGTGTTTACCCCACCCAAGTACAGGGCTGTACAGGTCAGTTGCCTGCCTAGACCCAGTGTTTACCCCACCCAAGTACAGGGCTGTACAGGTCAGTTGTCTGCCTAGACCCAGTGTTTACCCCACCCAAGTACAGGGCTGTACAGGTCAGTTGCCTGCCTAGACCCAGTGTTTACCCCACCCAAGTACAGGGCTGTACAGGTCAGTTGCCTGCCTAGACCCAGTGTTTACCCCACCCAAGTACAGGGCTGTACAGGTCAGTTGCCTGCCTAGACCCAGTGTTTACCCCACCCAAGTACAGGGCTGTACAGGTCAGTTGCCTGCCTAGACCCAGTGTTTACCCAAGTACAGGGCTGTACAGGTCAGTTGCCTGCCTAGACCCAGTGTTTACCCCACCCAAGTACAGGGCTGTACAGGTCAGTTGCCTGCCTAGACCCAGTGTTTACCCCACCCAAGTACAGGGCTGTACAGGTCAGTTGCCTGCCTAGACCCAGTGTTTACCCAAGTACAGGGCTGTACAGGTCAGTTGCCTGCCTAGACCCAGTGTTTACCCAAGTACAGGGCTGTACAGGTCAGTTGCCTGCCTAGACCCAGTGTTTACACAAGTACAGGGCTGTACAGGTCAGTTGCCTGCCTAGACCCAGTGTTTACCCAAGTACAGGGCTGTACAGGTCAGTTGCCTGCCTAGACCCAGTGTTTACCCAAGTACAGGGCTGTACAGGTCAGTTGCCTGCCTAGACCCAGTGTTTACCCAAGTACAGGGCTGTACAGGTCAGTTGCCTGCCTAGACCCAGTGTTTACCCCACCCAAGTACAGGGCTGTACAGGTCAGTTGCCTGCCTAGACCCAGTGTTTACCCCACCCAAGTACAGGGCTGTACAGGTCAGTTGCCTGCCTAGACCCAGTGTTTACCCAAGTACAGGGCTGTACAGGTCAGTTGCCTGCCTAGACCCAGTGTTTACCCAAGTACAGGGCTGTACAGGTCAGTTGCCTGCCTAGACCCAGTGTTTACCCCACCCAAGTACAGGGCTGTACAGGTCAGTTGCCTGCCTAGACCCAGTGTTTACCCCACCCAAGTACAGGGCTGTACAGGTCAGTTGCCTGCCTAGACCCAGTGTTTACCCCACCCAAGTACAGGGCTGTACAGGTCAGTTGCCTGCCTAGACCCAGTGTTTACCCCACCCAAGTACAGGGCTGTACAGGTCAGTTGCCTGCCTAGACCCAGTGTTTACCCCACCCAAGTACAGGGCTGTACAGGTCAGTTGCCTGCCTAGACCCAGTGTTTACCCCACCCAAGTACAGGGCTGTACAGGTCAGTTGCCTGCCTAGACCCAGTGTTTACACAAGTACAGGGCTGTACAGGTCAGTTGCCTGCCTAGACCCAGTGTTTACCCCACCCAAGTACAGGGCTGTACAGGTCAGTTGCCTGCCTAGACCCAGTGTTTACCCCACCCAAGTACAGGGCTGTACAGGTCAGTTGCCTGCCTAGACCCAGTGTTTACCCAAGTACAGGGCTGTACAGGTCAGTTGCCTGCCTAGACCCAGTGTTTACCCAAGTACAGGGCTGTACAGGTCAGTTGCCTGCCTAGACCCAGTGTTTACCCCACCCAAGTACAGGGCTGTACAGGTCAGTTGCCTGCCTAGACCCAGTGTTTACCCAAGTACAGGGCTGTACAGGTCAGTTGTCTGCCTAGACCCAGTGTTTACCCCACCCAAGTACAGGGCTGTACAGGTCAGTTGCCTGCCTAGACCCAGTGTTTACCCAAGTACAGGGCTGTACAGGTCAGTTGCCTGGCTAGACCCAGTGTTTACCCAAGTACAGGGCTGTACAGGTCAGTTGCCTGTCTAGACCCAGTGTTTACCCAAGTACAGGGCTGTACAGGTCAGTTGCCTGCCTCGACCCAGTGTTTACCCAAGTACAGGGCTGTACAGGTCAGTTGCCTGCCTAGACCCAGTGTTTACCCCACCCAAGTACAGGGCTGTACAGGTCAGTTGCCTGCCTAGACCCAGTGTTTACCCCACCCAAGTACAGGGCTGTACAGGTCAGTTGCCTGCCTAGACCCAGTGTTTACCCCACCCAAGTACAGGGCTGTACAGGTCAGTTGCCTGCCTAGACCCAGTGTTTACCCAAGTACAGGGCTGTACAGGTCAGTTGCCTGCCTAGACCCAGTGTTTACCCAAGTACAGGGCTGTACAGGTCAGTTGCCTGCCTAGACCCAGTGTTTACCCCACCCAAGTACAGGGCTGTACAGGTCAGTTGCCTGCCTAGACCCAGTGTTTACCCAAGTACAGGGCTGTACAGGTCAGTTGCCTGCCTAGACCCAGTGTTTACCCAAGTACAGGGCTGTACAGGTCAGTTGCCTGCCTAGACCCAGTGTTTACCCCACCCAAGTACAGGGCTGTACAGGTCAGTTGCCTGCCTAGACCCAGTGTTTACCCCACCCAAGTACAGGGCTGTACAGGTCAGTTGCCTGCCTAGACCCAGTGTTTACCCCACCCAAGTACAGGGCTGTACAGGTCAGTTGCCTGCCTAGACCCAGTGTTTACCCAAGTACAGGGCTGTACAGGTCAGTTGCCTGCCTAGACCCAGTGTTTACCCCACCCAAGTACAGGGCTGTACAGGTCAGTTGCCTGCCTAGACCCAGAGTTTACCCCACCCAAGTACAGGGCTGTACAGGTCAGTTGCCTGGCTAGACCCAGTGTTTACCCAAGTACAGGGCTGTACAGGTCAGTTGCCTGCCTAGACCCAGTGTTTACCCAAGTACAGGGCTGTACAGGTCAGTTGCCTGCCTAGACCCAGTGTTTACCCAAGTACAGGGCTGTACAGGTCAGTTGCCTGCCTAGACCCAGTGTTTACCCAAGTACAGGGCTGTACAGGTCAGTTGCCTGCCTAGACCCAGTGTTTACCCCACCCAAGTACAGGGCTGTACAGGTCAGTTGCCTGCCTAGACCCAGTGTTTACCCAAGTACAGGGCTGTACAGGTCAGTTGCCTGCCTAGACCCAGTGTTTACCCCACCCAAGTACAGGGCTGTACAGGTCAGTTGCCTGCCTAGACCCAGTGTTTACCCCAGTCTATTAGAGTTAATTGGTAAAAAAAATACACTTTTTCAGTTAATTGGTGAAAAACAAAAAAATCAACAAAATGATAATGTGGACAAGCAAGCCATTGAACGAATTCTTACTATGATGAAGGTCAGTTTAACCATTAGCCACAACTTACTATGATGAAGGTCAGTTTAACCATTACCCACAACATATGATGAAGGTCAGTTTAACCATTAGCCACAACATATGATGAAGGTCAGTTTAACCATTAGCCACAACATATGATGAAGGTTAGTTTAACCATTACCCACAACATATGATGAAGGTCAGTTTAACCATTAGCCACAACATATGATGAAGGTCAGTTTAACCATTAGCCACAACATATGATGAAGGTCAGTTTAACCATTAGCCACAACATATGATGAAGGTCAGTTTAACCATTAGCCACAACATATGATGAAGGTCAGTTTAACCATTAGCCACAACATATGATGAAGGTCAGTTTAACCATTAGCCACAACCTACTATGATGAAGGTCAGTTTAACCATTACCCACAACTTACTATGATGAAGGTCAGTTTAACCATTACCCACAACTTACTATGATGAAGGTCAGTTTAACCATTAGCCACAACCTACTATGATGAAGGTCAGTTTAACCATTAGCCACAACATATGATGAAGGTCAGTTTAACCATTAGCCACAACATATGATGAAGGTCAGTTTAACCATTAGCCACAACATATGATGAAGGTCAGTTTAACCATTAGCCACAACATATGATGAAGGTCAGTTTAACCATTAGCCACAACCTACTATGATGAAGGTCAGTTTAACCATTACCCACAACTTACTATGATGAAGGTCAGTTTAACCATTACCCACAACTTACTATGATGAAGGTCAGTTTAACCATTAGCCACAACATATGATGAAGGTCAGTTTAACCATTAGCCACAACATATGATGAAGGTCAGTTTAACCATTACCCACAACCTACTATGATGAAGGTCAGTTTAACCATTAGCCACAACATATGATGAAGGTCAGTTTAACCATTAGCCACAACATATGATGAAGGTCAGTTTAACCATTAGCCACAACATATGATGAAGGTCAGTTTAACCATTAGCCACAACTTACTATGATGAAGGTCAGTTTAACCATTACCCACAACCTATGATGAAGGTCAGTTTAACCATTACCCACAACCTACTATGATGAAGGTCAGTTTAACCATTACCCACAACTTACTATGATGAAGGTCAGTTAAACCATTACCCACAACTTACTATGATGAAGGTCAGTTTAACCATTACCCACAACCTACTATGATGAAGGTCAGTTTAACCATTAGCCACAACATATGATGAAGGTCAGTTTAACCATTACCCACAACATATGATGAAGGTCAGTTTAACCATTACCCACAACCTACTATGATGAAGGTCAGTTTAACCATTAGCCACAACATATGATGAAGGTCAGTTTAACCATTACCCACAACATATGATGAAGGTCAGTTTAACCATTAGCCACAACCTACTATGATGAAGGTCAGTTTAACCATTAGCCACAACCTACTATGATGAAGGTCAGTTTAACCATTACCCACAACTTACTATGATGAAGGTCAGTTTAACCATTAGCCACAACCTACTATGATGAAGGTCAGTTTAACCATTACCCACAACCTACTATGATGAAGGTCAGTTTAACCATTACCCACAACCTACTATGATGAAGGTCAGTTTAACCATTAGCCACAACTTACTATGATGAAGGTCAGTTTAACCATTAGCCACAACTTACTATGATGAAGGTCAGTTAAACCATTTGCCACAACCTATGATGAAGGTCAGTTTAACCATTACCCACAACCTACTATGATGAAGGTCAGTTTAACCATTACCCACAACATATGATGAAGGTCAGTTTAACCATTAGCCACAACTTACTATGATGAAGGTCAGTTTAACCATTAGCCACAACTTACTATGATGAAGGTCAGTTTAACCATTAGCCACAACTTACTATGATGAAGGTCAGTTAAACCATTTGCCACAACCTATGATGAAGGTCAGTTTAACCATTACCCACAACCTACTATGATGAAGGTCAGTTTAACCATTACCCACAACATATGATGAAGGTCAGTTTAACCATTAGCCACAACTTACTATGATGAAGGTCAGTTTAACCATTAGCCACAACTTACTATGATGAAGGTCAGTTTAACCATTACCCACAACATATGATGAAGGTCAGTTTAACCATTAGCTACAACCTATGATGAAGGTCAGTTTAACCATTAGCTACAACCTATGATGAAGGTCAGTTTAACCATTACCCACAACCTATGATGAAGGTTAGTTTAACCATTACCCACAACTTACTATGATGAAGGTCAGTTTAACCATTACCCACAACTTACTATGATGAAGGTCAGTTTAACCATTACCCACAACATATGATGAAGGTCAGTTTAACCATTAGCCACAACATATGATGAAGGTCAGTTTAACCATTAGCCACAACATATGATGAAGGTCAGTTTAACCATTACCCACAACCTACTATGATGAAGGTCAGTTTAACCATTAGCCACAACCTACTATGATGAAGGTCAGTTTAACCATTAGCCACAACATATGATGAAGGTCAGTTTAACCATTACCCACAACATATGATGAAGGTCAGTTTAACCATTACCCACAACCTACTATGATGAAGGTCAGTTTAACCATTAGCCACAACATATGATGAAGGTCAGTTTAACCATTACCCACAACATATGATGAAGGTCAGTTTAACCATTAGCCACAACCTACTATGATGAAGGTCAGTTTAACCATTAGCCACAACCTACTATGATGAAGGTCAGTTTAACCATTACCCACAACTTACTATGATGAAGGTCAGTTTAACCATTAGCCACAACCTACTATGATGAAGGTCAGTTTAACCATTACCCACAACCTACTATGATGAAGGTCAGTTTAACCATTACCCACAACCTACTATGATGAAGGTCAGTTTAACCATTAGCCACAACTTACTATGATGAAGGTCAGTTTAACCATTAGCCACAACTTACTATGATGAAGGTCAGTTAAACCATTTGCCACAACCTATGATGAAGGTCAGTTTAACCATTACCCACAACCTACTATGATGAAGGTCAGTTTAACCATTACCCACAACATATGATGAAGGTCAGTTTAACCATTAGCCACAACTTACTATGATGAAGGTCAGTTTAACCATTAGCCACAACTTACTATGATGAAGGTCAGTTTAACCATTAGCCACAACTTACTATGATGAAGGTCAGTTAAACCATTTGCCACAACCTATGATGAAGGTCAGTTTAACCATTACCCACAACCTACTATGATGAAGGTCAGTTTAACCATTACCCACAACATATGATGAAGGTCAGTTTAACCATTAGCCACAACTTACTATGATGAAGGTCAGTTTAACCATTAGCCACAACTTACTATGATGAAGGTCAGTTTAACCATTACCCACAACATATGATGAAGGTCAGTTTAACCATTAGCTACAACCTATGATGAAGGTCAGTTTAACCATTAGCTACAACCTATGATGAAGGTCAGTTTAACCATTACCCACAACCTATGATGAAGGTTAGTTTAACCATTACCCACAACTTACTATGATGAAGGTCAGTTTAACCATTACCCACAACTTACTATGATGAAGGTCAGTTTAACCATTACCCACAACATATGATGAAGGTCAGTTTAACCATTAGCCACAACATATGATGAAGGTCAGTTTAACCATTAGCCACAACATATGATGAAGGTCAGTTTAACCATTACCCACAACCTACTATGATGAAGGTCAGTTTAACCATTAGCCACAACTTACTATGATGAAGGTCAGTTTAACCATTAGCCACAACTTACTATGATGAAGGTCAGTTTAACCATTAGCCACAACCTACTATGATGAAGGTCAGTTTAACCATTAGCCACAACCTACTATGATGAAGGTCAGTTTAACCATTACCCACAACCTACTATGATGAAGGTCAGTTTAACCATTACCCACAACCTACTATGATGAAGGTCAGTTTAACCATTAGCCACAACCTACTATGATGTAGGTCAGTTTAACCATTACCCACAACATATGATGAAGGTCAGTTTAACCATTACCCACAACCTACTATGATGAAGGTCAGTTTAACCATTAGCCACAACCTACTATGATGAAGGTCAGTTTAACCATTACCCACAACTTACTATGATGAAGGTCAGTTTAACCATTACCCACAACTTACTATGATGAAGGTCAGTTTAACCATTACCCACAACCTACTATGATGAAGGTCAGTTTAACCATTACCCACAACCTACTATGATGAAGGTCAGTTTAACCATTAGCCACAACCTACTATGATGAAGGTCAGTTTAACCATTAGCCACAACATATGATGAAGGTCAGTTTAACCATTACCCACAACCTACTATGATGTAGGTCAGTTTAACCATTACCCACAACATATGATGAAGGTCAGTTTAACCATTACCCACAACCTACTATGATGAAGGTCAGTTTAACCATTAGCCACAACCTACTATGATGAAGGTCAGTTTAACCATTACCCACAACATATGATGAAGGTCAGTTTAACCATTACCCACAACTTACTATGATGAAGGTCAGTTTAACCATTACCCACAACTTACTATGATGAAGGTCAGTTTAACCATTACCCACAACCTACTATGATGAAGGTCAGTTTAACCATTAGCCACAACCTACTATGATGAAGGTCAGTTTAACCATTACCCACAACCTACTATGATGTAGGTCAGTTTAACCATTACCCACAACATATGATGAAGGTCAGTTTAACCATTACCCACAACCTACTATGATGAAGGTCAGTTTAACCATTAGCCACAACCTACTATGATGAAGGTCAGTTTAACCATTACCCACAACATATGATGAAGGTCAGTTTAACCATTAGCCACAACTTACTATGATGAAGGTCAGTTTAACCATTACCCACAACCTACTATGATGAAGGTCAGTTTAACCATTACCCACAACATATGATGAAGGTCAGTTTAACCATTACCCACAACATATGATGAAGGTC